GCATCAGCATGACCGCGGTTCCCTGGGACAGGGACAGCCATGGCCACAGGGTATCCTTGCCCACACTGGTGGCATAGTATCTTCTGCCCCAGGAGATCCAAAGAGCATCTCTCACCAAGCTGGCAGCTGTGGACTCGGGATATAGCCTTGTGGTTATAGGTGCAACCAATATCCTGACACAGGTGTCCTGGCTAATTGCTCACAGACTGAAATAAATTGAACAGAAACCCAAAGAACTCTACAAAATGCTGTAGTGAAAGGTTTGGGAGGAAGCTGGAGGCACGTAGGCCATATGGTTTTGTGGGCAGAGATGGGTGTCCACAGGGGCATCTGGCAGAGGGTACCTGCTTTATGCTTCCCAGACAGAGCTATGCTGAATAACCATCTTGTGTGAAGGAGGGAGCTCACTCCCAGGCTCTGCGCGCTGCCAGCTTGCAGCTGGGCTGATGCGAAGGAATGCACTCCCTAGCAATGCTTCTTTATAAATTATTTTTACTGGGGGATTTGAGTATCATTACAGTGAATGTATGTACAAATATTGGAAGAACAATGTGTGCTAGAGAAAACAAAGTGAAAAACCACCGAGCTTCCTGTTCCTCCTGAATAAACCTGTGATTTCTCCCACCTTCTTGAGTTGCAGTCTAATACAATATTGTACAGCCCACTGCGTCCTTAAATAGTTCCTGCTGGAGTAGCAGACACTGAGTACATCACTCAAACCCCATGAAGCTGTTTAGCTTCCAGTTCCACATCCTGAGAAGTTAAATCTCTGGGAGAAGGGAATGACCTGGGTGTCCCTTCAAGTGGGGTGCAGGATAACTCCTGGCGTCAGCCTGGAGCTGGATATTTTGCAGGAGTTTCCAGTTCTACTGTAAGTCCTATTCTCTTGAGCTCCCAATTCCCCTCTTCCAGCACCTCACACGTCTATCAGGGCTCAAATAAATATGATATATTGATGCTTCACCAGTTTGAAATGAACTGCAATTACCAAACAGAGGATTCGTTTCATTTACCTCCTGCCATCTAGAAGTAAAGCATCTGGGTTAAACTAGTTGTCTACAGTCAGGGGAGAGGGATGCACACTGCCAGAAGTCAAAAGCCTTCCTACTTATTTTAAACACCTTTCTTAGGCGAGGGTGGGTCACACGCTGAAAGTCATTGCCTTCCCATAGCTATAGAGCAACCTACAAAACCAAGTTTTAGATAGTTAAGGTGTGGTGACTCGAAACCCACTCTCGATATTTGTTTATAAAGCAGCTGTGAAACATGGGATCGATGTGCTCAGGATTTTGATGGTGGAGCCAGAAGGGGTTGAGATGATCACCCATGCTGACTCTAAGAATAACAACCTGGCCTCCAGCCTTTAAACTTCGCTGATCCAGGGTGTTTCAGGGTTTTTTTAGAAGAAAACCAAAGAAACATCTGCCAATTATAAAATGAATCTTGCCCTATAAATTGCTGCCTTCGCAAATAACAAGGCTATAGAAGAGGAGGAAGAAGGAGCGACTGAAGATGTCCCAAAAGAAAGAAGGTCAGTAGGGGATTTTTAATAATTTAACAGCCACTGGCGTGTGAGCCCATGAGGCATTTCTACACAGGACTTTGAACATGTACCAAGACATTCTTACTTTCAGCCCCTCACTCTCTGAGCTGAATCAAAATGAATAATTTAGAGAAGAAAGTCTCTTGAACTGTTTGCCATGGGTTATGAGGCTCTGTCGCATCGGAGTACCCTCGACGTGCAGTCTCTGCAGGTGCTGGGAGGCTGCGGGGCACGGTGCAGGGACGGTGCCAGCTGCACCGGGGTTTCTGTCCTTCAGCTGCTCTGCTGCCAGCTTCAGATGCTTTAGGAGATTTGTGAGCTGCACTCCAGTTTTCAACCAGCAGAGTAGCATGTGTGCAGCAGTGGCTCGGCAAGGCAAGTAATGCTGCTGAGCAATCAGAAAGCAGCAGCGGGGCTGGCAGCGCCAAGCCAAAGTTAGATGGTTGAAGATGAAAGCCAAGAGCAAACAAAACCTAAGACAGAGACAGCCTTGTTGCCAGTAAAGCGATAAAGTCAGAGCAGCCACTCATTTCTTGCAGTGCTTAAGTGGTTCAATTAAGCTGAAGGAGTAAAATAATTCCTAAGGGACGCGAGTCTATTGAATGCACTGAGTAAAGAATAATGCACTTCATTGAATGAGACGCCTGTGGGCAGGACCTCTCTTTGCAAAGCAGTGCAACTCTTTTGTGCCATGGTGGGGCTGCCTAGATGTATCTCAGCTGGGATTTAACCAGTTGGCTCAGGCGCTGCTAACAGGGCTCAGCATGGGCTATGCTCAAACCCCGCATGCGAATTTGCAGAAGTGGACCCTGTGGCTGCAGCGTTAGGAGAGCCTTGGCTGGGCTCAGGCTGGCTCAGGTCGGTAGGGACTGACATGCTTGCTTTGGCGGGACCCTACCCACAGACCACCTCTGTCTATCTTGTCGGCTCTGGAGCCAGCTGCTGTGCCCATGGGAGGGCCAGCAGCAGTTACCAAGTTAATCTGAAAGCTACTGGTTCTGGCTACGGGCTCTGGTCCTGCTTCATTGTCAGCATGCTGCAGGACCAGACAGCTTGGAGTCTAGGCTGCAAGGGTGTTTAGCATCTAATACCTTTTGCTGTGGGACCACAGAAATCTCATTGCTTCAGGAAGAGGCTCAGGAATAGCGCTTTTCCCTCCCTGGCAGCTGGATCACATTCATGGCATCTTCGAGAAAGAAGAGCACTGCCTTCCCAGCTGAATATCTAATGCTATAGGCAGCTTTTTCAGCCTTTTTCTGGATTTGCATGCCATGGAAACTGTTCCCAAATCCCTTAGACACCTAAATGAAGCCAGCTGTAACCTTGGTTGATAAAGCATCAGCAGCAGGACAGTAAGATTTTCTGAAGGGATCTGTACAGAGGAATATGGCTGCATGTCTTGCACAGATCCACAAAACTCCACTGAGATTTTCATCAGCATTGGGCCATGAAAGGTTACTATTCAAAAACAACAGGATAAATCAAGTAAAACTATCAAGAGTGGGAGAATATGCTATTTATTTACTACCATGTTAAACTGAAAGAGGGAAAGATGGGTAAAAATGAAAAATATTCCTTTTATTTTCTTTTTTTAACATAGAGCTTTCCTCTTTCTTTCCTGTCCTATATTTCTCAACGAAAGGAGGAAAAGTGATAAACTTATCTTTACTTTTGCTTTTTTAGTCTATGGAAACTACAATAGCCAAATCAAAAGCCAAAATGTTTTTAAGATACTCCTTTTATCTCCTTTTGTTGAAACACATAAAACTAAAAGGTAGTGTAGGCCATCAACGAAATGCCTTTCTTTTCACCTTTTTTGCTAAACACATCAGAGGAAAAAAAATCTGATCAGCCCTAGAAAAAAACCAAACATGATCGAACAGGACAGTTGCTTTGTCTTTCAGGCATAGACTCAAAAATACGGATAGGTTTATACATAAATATATATACAGTAACCAAAACTTCGAATTCAAATACACCTGAGCTTTGGGGAAGTTTGTATATTCATTCAATCTTTGTGGCTTAGGCTCATCTGTAACAGAAATATTTGCAAATAGACAGAATACTTCCTCTTTAATCTTATCTAGCAATCTGTCTGTTTGTCTGGGTTTTTCCTAGAGATGGCCTTAGATCCTGATATCTGAGGGCTGCACAGCTAAATTAAGGCGAGATCATACCCAACTTCACAGAAGCCTTTATTTTTTCTTGTTTACCATGAGTATTTGTTTCATTTTAGTTCATTGGGATGAAAGGCAGAGCAGCCACATAGCCTGGCTCAGCCTCCAGCCCTGTGCTTGGCCCACCTTTGGGAAAATATCTTATTTTGACTGATGGCTATTTGCTCTATGGGCAGACTGTGGCTGAGATACACAAAATGGCTCCACGATAGCTGTGGGTGCTCTTTCCTGGGGCTCTTCCAGAGCGCTGAGCACATCCCAACCTTTGGGTCCCAGCTTTGGTGCCTCTGCCAGGCCAGGCAGTGTCCGAGGGTACCTCACCAGCTGCTCTTCAGGTCACACATCTCAGAGGGGCGAGTCCTGGATTCGTGCCCAAGAGCTCTTTCCCCATCTACAAAGAGGATTGTTTGAGGTTTCACACCTTCAATGCCACCTTTAGGCATTGCAGCTTGACAATAGGGAAAAGATGGTGAAATGTTGGGATCTATCTGCGTGTGCCTGGCTAATTGCTGTAAATTAGCTTGGCCCATTTATGCCCTTGAAGAACCCCAGGCACCACTGGCAAATAAAGCAGATACACTTAAGCTAAATGCCTTCGGTTCATGCTCTCTCAGAGGACAAGAGGCAGATGAGGTTGTTTCGTAGCTGTTAAGATCAAGTGCTGCTTAGACAACTACCCTGAATTGTATTTTGAACAATTTATCACGGCCCTTACCTGTGTAATTACAAGTACCCCTGAGATTTAGTGCACCGGGAAGGGCTCCAACTCCAACAAAGCCATGCCATGTAGCATGCATGGAGAGAAATAGGAAAATTTTTCAGAGTTTTGTTGTGTGCTTTCCTGTCTGTGTTCCCCCACATTGCTCAGAGGGGCTTTGTCACCTCCTCGTGCATTTTATGGTGGGTAACTTCTCACAACTTCAGATTCTCTGCATTCTCTGTGAGACACCTCACCAATTCCTACCAGTGCTCATGTGGTTAATGGGTGAGAGGAGGGGAGCGAGCACATCTGAAAGGAATGCAAGAAATATAAACAATTTTATTAACAAGACCACAAAACTATTTTTTAATATATGCAGCCATTTACAAGGAGTAAATAAACAAACAAACAGAAAAACCCACTGGGGAGACGTGGTCGGTGTCAGAGAGCACAGCGAACTGGCACAGATGGTATGGGCAGGTTGGGGTAGGGTCGCCTTCCTCCACCCTACCTCCACTGTGGACTGTTCCCGGCCAACACCAGCCCCTACGAGCAGGGTGAGCCGGTGCAGAGCCCAGCACTAAGGAGGTGGGGTGCCACGTGCATCCTGCTGCGGTGCCAGTGACGACGCCAGCTGCGTCAGGGCTCGGGCGATGATGGAGAGATGGCTGTTCATCGTCCGCAGCTCTGCCAGGATGTCATTCACATTCACCGATGCCTGCTCAGAACTCGGGGGCATGGCGTGGGCAGCCGGTGGTGATGAAGCAGCCCCCGGAGCCCTGTTTTCCATTGGTGTTGCCTGGGGATTTGCATCATGGGAGGGGTGTGGGGGTGTGCTGCTGCAGCGCTTCATGCCTTCCAGGGAGCCTGTTCTTATGGGTGGCTGGTCTTCCTCCTTCCCTCGAATGGTGGCAAGCGTTGCAGAAGCAAGGAAGGGCAGCCAGTTGATGAGGTGGGTGGCAGTGCCGGGTGGGACTACCGGCAAATAAAGCCCAGGGTGCAGGGATGGAGTAGAGGCAGGTGGTGCAGGGAGAGAAGGGAGTCCAGGGTGAACAGTGGCAGCAGAAGCTGATGTCGATGGTGGAATAGGAGGCGGTTTGGGATGTAAGGCTGCAACACAGGCAGGTAACGGTGGTGAAAATGACGCAGTACCAGTGTCAGAGGAAGAGGAGGGTGATGCTGGAGCTGTGAAAGGTCCAGGTTCTTCAGAGGTTGGTGGTGAAGTGGCAGCAGGTGGAGCATCAGGCGTGCAAGGGTCTGAGTCTGCAAGGAAGACACATCATGAGCCTTGATTAACATGTGTACTTATATACATAGGCTATTGCTTGCTGTCACTTCAGTGGAACTAGGTCTTTTTGGTGAAAGGAGAAATTTCATCAACTGGTAGTGATACCCTCTGTAGGCCAATTAGAAAAGAATAGACATACTCAAGGACAAGAGCCTACTGTATGTAAACATGCAACTTAACATTATAAAACTAAATTATCTTTCCACTCTCATTCTTCATAAAGCCTGTGGATAGACCTTAACATTTTTCTGGTTGACATCTGATTGGTATGCATCAGCTGGTGAATTACCTACTGTGTTTCCCTGACCAGTCTTGGAACGATGGCAATGTCCTAATTGACTCAGATCTCCCATGGAGATGAGGGCTGGATGGCTGCTGCCAGAGCCAAAGTTAATTACTGCTTCAGAGAGGGTCCCAGTTTTCCGTGTTCTGGTTTGAATGGACAGGTCAACACCAGAAAGAGTAAGAGCTAGTTGGTGGCTTAAACTCTTCAATAATTTTATTATTTGTGTGGAAGTATGACAGAATTCACACAGTTAAACTTAGATGTAGATCCCTGCCTTTAGATATTTAGCAACTTCAGCTATGAAAATCAACAAAGAAGAGACAGAAAGAAATTGTTGATGCTGGGCATCCCAGCTTGACAACCTATGACATCTTGCAAGCAGTTCAGTGGACCTCATCCAATGTCTACTAAAGTCATTAGAAACATGCCTGCTTGGACTGAGTCCAACACATACAGCGTAGGGTGACAGAGGAGCCTCTGGGGGATATGCAAAGACTTGGAAAGCCATGCTATGGTCCAAGGTGCTCTACCCACTGTGCCCAGCTGGTAAATACTGTATGGTAAGGATGATTCTATTTGTACAATAATTCTGAAAGCCAGAAATATAATAGGAAATGTTAGCCTTTCAACAGCCTCAAAGATTGGCATAAGTGGAATTACTGTACCATGCTGTAGATCTTTATTTTAGCATTGGGAACACATTATACAGAAGGTGGTGAGATGCTACAGGAATGGTCAGTGTAAGACAGATGGATTTTAAAACTACTTCTGCTGCAATTAAGTGCAAATTTTAAGGCATTGCTGTGGATACAAAGACAAAAATTAGTAGATTTATCTAGGTTAAGACAACCTAGAGAAAGCCAAGTACTGAGGTGTTAACACCATACTATTATTATTTCTGGCATCTAAAAAATCTGATGTGAGAAATCCGTTTTCATTACTGGCTGGTTTGGTATTCCAGATAGCAAACTGAAAATGTGAGTCAAAAGCAAATGAAGGCTTTTCTCTGTCATTTCTAACACCAAACCAATTGGACATGCAGTGAACAATGGACAAAAGTCCCACATGGGACCACCACGTTTTCCCAAACACATATGGTTGGAGGGGATTATGACACCAAATTCAGCATGCCCTTATGTCCCTGGGATTTCTATGGAAAGTTACTGCAGGCTCCTTGAAACTGTTTCCTTCCTTTGTGTATTGGCTTTCTTCCCAACACAAAGTCCCTGCTTATACAGACACTCGATCCCGTTTCACTAGAGGTGGGCTGAGGATGCTGGATGTTGGGTTTCCAAAGTGTTATTGATTGGGCTTTAGTTTTTCAAAACAAAAACAAAAATAAAGCACAGTTCAAATACAGGTTCTGTTTCCATCCAAACCACCAAAATTTGCAAAGGGTGAGATGAAAGGTTCAGGTTTGGCTCAACGGTACTGTTAACCAGAACAGTGTTTATGGTCCATATATAGCATGGCTAATCCCTGTCCACACTGGCCAAGCAAACCAAATTAAGTGTAATGTTTTTCCACACGTTGGAGAGCAGAGGAAGCTCAACAAACCTTGAGGTAATCTGGTTTAGTGCTGTGACAAATAACTGCCACAAACGATTCTTAAATGCTTTAAAAGTGACTGGGGTTAAAATACAAGGAGTAGTAACTAATACAGACAAAAACAGAGACAAAAATCTGGTCACCAAGGGCTCTTCTTTTTAGCTGCAATCTTTCCAAACAGCATGGCTTCCCTATCAGAAGCCACAGCTTTGTCATTCCCCTAATCCCCCCTTAAGATTTATTTATACTATGCAGCCTTTTAAACACATCTTGCTCAGCTTGATCAGACTGCCATACTTCCATCTAAGAAATTCCACATGGGCGTCTGGACACCCGCGCAGGGAGCCTGGTGTATCCAGGACATGTGGAAGCTGTTGCACGGCTCAGATCAACAGCTGGGAATACACACAGCTGACATAGTGCAGTCTGTGCACCCAGAGCGACTGCTTGTCTGGATGGGGTCTGACCCAACTGCTCAATATCCAAAGACCCAAACGGATGATGAAAACCGCAGAATCACAGCATCGCTGAGATTGGAAGGGACCTCTGGAGACTCTCTAGTCACAACCTCTGCTCAAACGAATGTCAGCTAAGGTCAATAATTTTTTTGTCCATGGACAAAATTGCTAGAGCATATCTGAGAAAGCCCAAGAATATGGAAGTCCTAAGCATGGTGAAGCATGGAGCAAACTACTACTGTTGCTTATCATGTACAACAGGATGATTCTATTTATTTCCTTCTTCTCTGATCTTGTTTGTTTTATCTGAATGTTGCCACTCATCACAACTCTAGTGCTTGTTTTTTTCAGTTTTTTTGTACAGCCCCAGCAGAAAGAGTCTTGTTAACTGCAGCATCCAGGTACACACTCATTCCCAAGGGTGTTAGATCTGCATCTAGACAGAGCTGTAGCTAAGTGGGGTTGGATGGATGCCTGCGGAGAAGAGAGACATTGAAGACAAATTGCTCAGACAAGTACAGTGACCTTTCCTAAACATATCAACCTATATGTGCATGGTCATTCAGCACCCCCCAGTACACCCAGTCTACAGAAGATGGGTAGGTGCTATGGCATACTCCCACATGCAAAGACTGACGGTTCAAGGTAGGCTTGTAGCTTAGAAGAAACTTATTTCATGAGTTAGGGAAGTTAATCCAAGACTCTGAAAACCTTGGTTGGGATCCACTTCATCTAAACAACCGAACTGTAAGTGCCTAGTGAATAAATTCCATGAAAGCACCTGCACTTTCTGTGTTGTATATAAAGGGAAAGCTCCCAAAGGGAAGGCTTAGACACATAGGTTATATCTCTCTGAGCAGCCTCAGAGTCACTTACTTCTTTGTACTGAGTGCATAGGGAGCTTGGCCTCATCCTTCAGGACGACTGGTTTACTGAGATGGGATTCAGGTCTTCTTTATCTTTAACAGTCTACAGTGTAGATGTCTACATCTCATCTAATTACCTAGCCTTTTTTCACAGTCAAAGGATTAAACAGGTCTAGCATCACCTTTTTATTGCTAGAATGAGAAATATTTGTCCTCATCTCTTTGCTGGCAGTAATGTAGGATAACTAACTCAGATGTGGATGCCATGCACTGAAAATGCCTACATTTCAAAAGAGAACTCCTATACCAGGTTCATGAAAATGAGATGGGTGCCCAGCTTAGAAACAGTGAATGCCTAACATTCACTACCCTCCTGATATACTACCGATCTCCCAAAGAGAAAGCAGTTACATATCTTTGTGTTACCTATTTGCAAGTAACAGGGAATACTTCTGCACTGCCTCCTCTGAGAGAACCTTGGGGTGTTCAAAACTCACAGGACTGTAAACAGGCCAGGTGATACAGTAATGGGAGCGAGCAGAAGAGCACTTCCAGGATTTCCTGATGCTTGTCCTGCACATGATGATGGATGTTACCAAAAGATTAATGGGCTGCCCTGTGAGAATGCGGAAACTAAAGTTATTTTAAATGCATTCATCTGTATGAGAAAAGCATGCATTTAGCTTTTCAGGCAGTCTTGGCTTAGGTGGGTTTTTTTGACTATCGATTTTATCTACCTTGCAGCCAAATTGCTGCAAGCTCTGATTTTAGTCTTTTGTCAGCTAACAAGGGAAAGGTCTGTGAAGGAGAAACCTTGAGGGAAAAGAGGGGACATGACTTTCCACTGGCTAGCACACCGCATGGAATTCAGCTCATCTAACATTAGCAATTTAGCTGGCATCTAGTGCAAGGCGGTCATCCCAGCTCCAGCAGAGAAAGAAGCACCTCTGGGGACAAGCCATCCCGAGATATCAGGTCCCTAAGAAGGGTGAGGAGGCTCATGCTCTGGAGTGTTCCTCCCCTTCCAGCACTTCTTGTAAGACTAAGTCAACTACCTTAGATGGGCTGACTAACTTCTAAATGGCTGAAGTTGGGTGAGCTAGATTCCTCGCTTTATATATAGATGTAGCAAGTAATTTGCTATCAAATCAGAATAGCAGATGGGTAGTACTGCCTCTGTGTTCCTGTGGAAGGCATAAAACCAAGGAGATAAGGTTTAAGGTGCAAGAGAGTAGAAACTTAGGCCTGTAGAGTGCTTCAAGAAATGAGCTGATGGTTCAGAAGGTGACAATCTTTCAAGTGAGTCAGCACTGAACAACCAACTTGTTCCAATGATAAGGATATCAAGATGTTGAAATGAGTAATGCAGTCCCTTCGATGACACAGTAACCTGCAGGAGGCCTTTGTGCACTGTTCTTTCTTCTCAGGTTTATCAAATTGCTCTAAAGCTAGCAGTGTCTCGCGTGTGTCTGTGAGAGCGAGTGCGTGCACGCACTCCCACTTCGTTTTGCAGCTGCTTCCCAAGAAAGTCTAAATATACGCCTGCCTCCTCTTTCTGGTGAGAAGTGAAACTGAAGTCCTAACAGCTTGTGGTAAATGAAAGTCCAATAGCAACTTTTGCGTAAGTAAGGGCGGTACTGGTTTTGTACTGACAAAGTCCATCTTTGGAATCTGAATCTGAAGCCATCTCTCCTGTTCTGCTCAGGTTTGATTCAGATACAGAGTGGCATTGCTTCTCACTGATGGTCTGCAGTCAAGCTTAGAAGGGCTTCAAGATGTAACTCAAGTTTAGAAGGGATTAAATTACTGCACTAGGC